CGCGGTGGGAGCCAGGCTGTAGCCTGTGACTGTCCCCACAGTGCTGTGGGACTGAAGCGTCCCTGTGCTGGCCGGCCAGCAGGGCTGTTCCCTTTCCTGCAGCCGGTGGCCCTTGCTGGCTGGTGGCAACTGTGCAGAAGCCCAGCTTTTGTCACACATGAAACCAGCTGGTGCTTGGTGTATGTACAGGGTGTGGAGCTGTACTTCAGCTTGTTCTTCAGCTTACTTTGGCTTCACTATTTCCATTTCCCCTATTGGGGAAGGGATCCAAGGACTTTGGGCTGTTGGAGAGGGAATTTGGGTCCAGGCTCGTTTCTCTAAGCCAAGGCATAAGAGGGAACTTTGCTTGCTCCTGTGCAGATGGAGAAGTAATTTTGCATTTGAAACTGTAACAAACAATGCATTCACTGACCCACTCGGTGGAAGTGGTGGCTCACTTCCTAGCTCTGGATGCTGTCAGATTTTTGAAGGGCACAAAGACCCTTATCCCAGTGGGTGCACACGCACACAGTGCCTTCCGGTTTGGCAGAGCATGCAGCTTCTAGCACTGTCCTCTGCATGTGTTAAAAAAATGTACTGTTAGCACTAGGAGCAGCATCAGAACTGTAGTAACATGTTGCATGCCTCATGGGCTGGGCTGATGTTCATTTACCCTTGGGAAACACTCCCGTGCCTCACGTGCCACCGACCACGCTGGAGCCCCACCCTGTTGCTGCTGGAGTTAACACCCATCTGCAGCAGGAGGAGGAGCCTTGGCGTGAGGCGTTACTTGATGCGTGTACCAGCGCTTGCGATACTGGTCTGACGGCAAAATTTATGTGTGTGGAGAGAAATCTCTCTCCCTACGTCTGAGTTGCCTAACTCCCTCTCTCACTCCTCTGAAGAGCAGCTGCTTGCTGCCTCTGTGGTCCCTAGTTAACAGGGGGAGCGCTGTATTAGTGCTAAAGGTGATGCTGTTCTGGTACAGGGGCTGTGGGGGTTCAGGGGCAGAGATTTGTTTCTGCAGGGGATGCCCCTTGCAAACATTTAAATAATGCATAAAACAACTGTAAATGGTAAATTGAGAGTGCAACTACTGAAAAAGCTGGGGAACTTATTCCTTGTAAGTGCAGCGGGTGAAATTCTGGCTCTACTGAAAGCAAGTGTTGCTGTTGGTTTTGCAGTAGTGCTCAACTGCACTTCAGCAGTGCTTGCTTTTAAGAAAGGAGTTAGCCCAGCCTCAGCTGGCTGTGACCAACTCCTCCTCTTCCTTGCCACTTTTCCAGGAAAAAAAAAAAACAATGGGGACTGAAATTGTCACAGACTATTTCAAAAATAAGTTCTGCACTAATTTCAAAATATGAAGTACCCCACAGTCAGTAAGAAGGGGAGTAAGTGGGGCAAATCTACATCAGCGAACGGCAACAAGCAGAGATGCAAAAATGAGAGTGAGCCAAGCCAACAGCAAAGCAGGATTTCCTTGTCTCCCATTGCTCCTTCAGGGGGTGGCTAGGGTATCGGTGCCTTTGACCATCGTGGTGTTCAGCATCTCAGGCCTTCGCTTGGGATGTGAGACATGTAAATTGCTTTCAAGAGTCCAACTATGACCAGCCCCCTTCCACCCTTATGTGTCTTAGTGCCCCAAATTAAGATTAATGGAAAACTTGTAAAATGCTCTCACCCGTGGAGATGGGCTCTTGCCTTTCCAGCTGTTGAGGGGGGCAGTTGAGTCTCACCAACCTGTACAGTCACTCACAGCATGGCGTGTTGTACACTTACTGGACCTTATGCGTTCAGAGTGATCCTTGTGCCTCCCTTTGGACACCAGCATGCAGTGGTCAACTGTTTCCTACTAAATGGGTGTGTGTAAACATGAAACAAGATACATTTATGCAAATAGCTTGACATATATCACATAGTTGAGGTGGTTCAGTGCAGAAGCCAGTACTGGGGAAGGGGGGATGGAGTTGTGCTTGACTGAAAACAAATTATTAACAATCACTTTTTTCAGACTGCATTTGCTGTATGAAAGCAACTACGTTAACTGTCATGCAGCCCATATATTCCACAACTAATGAAACCTCAGCAAATAGGGGCTTGGGGCTATGTTTACATGATCTATGGAAGCAAGTTTAATTTGAATATGTGGTGTCTTTTTTAATGTAAATGGTTTGACAAACATTTTATATTTTTTATGAAACAAGAAAATAAAAGTATTTTGACAGCAGGTGTTTGATGACAACTTCTGTTACATGTGTAACACTGCTAGAGGTGGCTCAGCTCCATAGACAAGCAGCTGGGCAGCAGCAATCTCCCTGCCCTTGTCCTGGCAGCCCTGAGCTGGCTCCCCCCACCTTGGTCATCTTGCCAAAAAAGAGGAGAAGTGGGGGTGATACTTAACCCAAAGTGGGGGGAGTGAAATAACACATTGCCCCAAGATAAGGCAGCCAGGCAGGGCCTGAGCTGCATGTGCAGACACATGTGCATGCTGGCATACAGCTGTGCCCTGGCTGCCCTCCTCCTCTTCCTCAGCTGGACAGGGCTGACAGTTGCTGATAGAAGACATGTGCATGTATATATTATATAAAAAAGTATATACATTATATCTACACTATCTGCAATACACTCACTATAAGCACAATACTCTATATACAAAACATACACTATCATACAAGTATATGTGTGTATATATATATATATATATCTATCTATCTATATATATATATCTATATCTCCCCCTTACACAATCACACAGCATATACCTTGCATCGTTTATAGAGAAAGCAGATATATGTTTGTGCATATACCTCTATGTACTTATAGATCTATCCCAGGCAGAGAAGTATTTTACTTTGTTCTGAAAAAAACTTTCTGGTAGAAAATGCCACTTCGTGTCTGGCATTTGAGCAGTGCCCCCGTTTTCCACCAGTGTCACGACAGCCCTTTCCCCAGCAGCCCCACTGAGGGCTGAGTCATCTTTTTGTTTCACTTCAGCCTGCCCTTCTTGCAGGTACAACACAAATGCTTTAGATACACAGTTTTAGCTTGATAAGATTTATTTGTAGGTATATGACAACAGATGCAGTACCATAAGTAACATTAATTACAGACTGTGTTACAAACATATATATGTCTGTTTGTTTAAACATTATATATATATATACACACACACAAACAGACATATACATGCACATGGTACCTCATTATTAATCCTACCTTTTGTTTACCCACACAGCTAAAGAAAAGAGAGCAGCACCCTTCCTTCATAAACTCAGGAAAGTTGAAGTCCTAAACCCAGATGATGGAAATCCTGTATTAAGCCAGTAAATTAACTGTATTTGCACACACTGATGTCCCACAGTGCTGGGGAGCCAGGCACGCCCCATGAGGCCTCATCCTTGCCAGCTGAATCCCACAGGGCTGTGGGGCCAGGCAGGAGATGCACCATGAGGAAAGGCACCACTGCAGGCCCTGCTGCCTGTGAGGTTGGAGGAAAGGAGGAGAAACACCAGGGACATGGGGATGAAGGGACAGGCTTGGATAGGTTCAGGTGCGGTCTTAACTCCCCAGCTCTTCCACGGAGGACTTGCCTGGCTTTGGCCAAGCCAGGACAGGCAAATAAAACTTCTCCTGCTCCATCTGTGAAGACAGCAAGTCCCCTGGGGCTGGGGAGCTCACCAGCAGCAGGACCAAGGCAGCATGCTCCTTCCAGATGCCGAGAGGTACAGCAAGAGCAGCAGGAGAGGCAGTGCCGGGGCCAGGAGCAGCCCCTCTTCTGCTGTCTGACACAAAGGCAGCCACTCAGTCAGAATTAAACATCAAATTTATTGCATAATACTGTACTATGTACACACACATCGAAAATAAACATTTTATATAATTGTATATTTGTCTTCAATGCTGCATTAGAAAGAGGCTGGAGGGCTCTCGGTGTAGCCTACAGCTTGTCTTAAAAAACCCAGAAGCCTAAAACCTTTTGTTATGAGGTGCAAAGTTCAATACTGTATATTGAACATGGTGCATAAATACTAATAACAAGTCATGTCAAAACCACCCTAGGCTTAAAATGAGATTTACAACAAGACCTGAAAAATGGGAGGAATCATTCAAACTTCATTTAATGGGGGAGTGAGGCTGGAGGAAAGAGGATAAAGGCTCTCCAACTTACAGGATAGTTTTAGAGTATGCAAAAATCATTACCAAGTGCTAACTAACGTACATTTCCAGGATATTTCATACAGATTGTCCTTTAGGCCCCTCAGCAAAACAGCTATCAAGTAAAAGGGCTCCTCTCAAACAGCAAAATAAAGTAACCCTAACTGCAAAGATAAAACCAAACTCCAAACAGAAGGTCATCACCCAAATGTGGGTCTCACGCTTCTTTTTCTTTTATCTGACCTGATGGGACTGGAGAGCCTGTACACACCTCACGCACTCACACACCCCCGCACGCTCACAGGCACACACGTGTACATTCACACACACACACAACTCCTCTGGAGAAAGGCGGCAGTGGTCACAGCAGCCACCTCACCTTGTGTTGCAGTAACAGGTCTGTTCGGATGGAAAAATAGGGCTCAGCAAAGCCCACCCATCGAACTCACAGACTTGCCAAGATAGAAACACAACACCAGAGAGATGCAATTTGACAAAACTGTTATTATAGGTAGGATCTGTCCTTCCACAAGCCTGAACACAAACCCCGATCCAGAGGAGTCTGAGACTTCTTTAAGACGACATTGCTTGGAAATAAAATTTGAGACAAGGTAGGAAAAACAACCCAACCCCCCCCCAAATCAACACATTCTCCATGAGACATCCTGGTGCAAAGACAGAGCATCACCCTGGGGGTCACAAATGACATCCCAGCCTAGTACCATCTGCCAAGGACCAAAGGGCAGAGGGGAAATTTCCATTCAAAGCAAGCAAGAACCAGCTTGCATTTAAAAAGGGAGGAAAAAGGGG